CTAGCATTGTCTATTTATAAAGATGGCTCTTGTTTGTATTTATTTCACTAAAAGGCATGAGTTATATAGAAATATAAAAAGCCAGTGAAATGTGCATCAACTCATGAATTACGACCTTTTACCTTATAGGTGCTTTGTTCCAAGTCCAGGATGTATATTCCAGTGTAGTGTTATCGTTTTTATTGAGTAAGGAAAAGCTTTGGCATTAAACAAGGGACAAAAGATTTGTGGACAATACTGCTGTTTTCTCTTACCTCAAAGCTCAGTTCCGAAGGCTGGAGTCTTCAAAGCCATTTTTGTTTCCAGTGTTCACGTTTAATTAAAAACCACATTCACAATTGTATAATCCCATCTGTGGACCTAAAAAAGGAATTCATATAAAAGAAAATTAACATTATTATTAAAAGTATACTGCCTTTATAACAGGTATAATAGAGTAACAGTTTTCCCCAGGCTCACTGGCAGTTTCTTATATAATAACTAAAATATTAGCAAATTTAATGGATTTTTCTTACCTGCAAATTTGTTTTAAAAACATATTTCATTGGATTTAGATGATTATAATGACATTTGCTAAGGAAAGAGATGTCAATAATAGGCTGTTACTTTCTATTAGCAAGCATCAGAAATTGAAGTTTTATGGTCTTGACTTTGTTAGATGATGAATCAATGTATTTTAATTTTATTAACTGGAGAAACTTGGCCAGGCACAGTGACCCACGGGTGTAATCCCAGCACTTTGGGAGGCCCAGGTGGGCAGATCACCTGAGGTCAGGAGTTCGAGACCAGCCTAGCCAACATGGTGAAATGCCATCTCTGCTAAAAAATACAAAAATTAGCTGAGGGTGATGGCGCATGCCTGTAATCCCAGCTACTCAGGAGGCCGAGGCAGGAGAATGGTGTGAACCTGGGAGGCGGAGCTTGCAGTGAGCTGAGATCACGCCATTGCACTCCAGCCTGGGCAACAGAGTGAGACTCCGCGACTCCGTCTCAAAAACAAAACAAAACAAAACAAAACAAAACAAACAACAGTAGAAACTTCTGTCCCCATGAATCTGTTTTTGTTTTTTTTTTTTCTGAGATAGGGTCTCGTTCTGTTGCCCAGGCTGGAGTGCAGTAGTGTAGTCTTGGCTCACTGCAGCCTCTGCCTCCTGGGCTCAAGTGATGCTCCCACCTGAGTTTCACCTCTAGCGGGGACTACAGGTGGGCGCCACCATGCCTGGCTAATTTTTGTATTTTTTGTAGAGATGGGGATTTGCCATGTTGCCCTGGCTGATTTTGAAGTCCTGGGCTCATGCGATCTGCCTGCCTCAGCCTCCCAAAGTGCTGGGATTACACCACACCCAGCCTGTCTTAGGTAAATCTATGGAAGATGGTTTCCTACTTAAATAACATTTCTTTTAATTTGTTTAGCTTTGTGAGAGTGCTTTCAGAGGAAAGATTACTGTCCTTTGTTCTTTCCACAAGATACATAGTTCTTGATGATGTGCCATTTTTCCTGACTGTCTTACACAACAGCTGAGCCTGTTTGGGGAGGGCATCCCCTGAGTTCACCCAGAAAATGTAGGCCTGTCTCCCATTGGCATCAGAGGGCAGGTTGGGACAACCTGGTGGGTGCTGTGTACAGGGCGTATCCATTCGAAGAGCGCTTTTCTGGGATACCCATTTGCTTCGTAAGAAACAACCATTACGTGTAGCTGCTGGTTGATTATCATTTCTTGAATCATGTTTCCTAAAGCTTTCTAGTGAGAATGATGGAAAAAATATCTTCATGGATCAAGAAAGAAATATGTGGGGTAAATTAAGTTTTAAAAAAGGCATGCAGTGCTTGCTTCAGCAGCACATATACTAAAATGAGAGCAATCCAGAGGAGATTAGCAAGGATGACATGCAAATTCGTGAAGAGTTCCCTATTAGGAAAAAAAAAAATAAAAAGGCATGTGGCAAATTTAACTTGAACATGAACATAAAAACTTGCTAGCCGGTCAAATTCTCATGTATTTACTTCACTCAGCACCGAATGCAGTGTTCTGGTTGCTCTTAGTAGTTACTTCAATATTATCAGATGCTTTCCAGTGTTACCTTCTTATATTGTTACCTACTTTGTATTGCAGTGTTCATTGTTGAAATATACTTTGTTTTGTTATATAGGAATAGGTTACATAGTTTGCATGACTGTGCAGTATATATATACATACACATACACACATATGTAAATACAATATATATGAAATACATTTCATGCATACTGTTTTGTGATGATTTCAACTTGCCTATTATTTTCATCCTGTTCTCTTTTTTGTTGGTCCTACACGACTTTATTATTATTTTTACCTTTCCAATTCTTTACTTTTTTCAGTATTATCTGTCTTGATAATTGTGTAGTTTTACTTTATCTTTTGATCATTTAAACATTTTATCAACTTTTTTTCTCTAGATTCTCAGTGTGTAGACACCATTAAAAATCTACTTTTGTGTGTTGAAATAAATAAATGCTCAAAATGCATGACTTGTTTTGATAATGTAAGTATTCAGACATGCATAATATTTATACACATTCTGTAAAGCTCAATATATAACTGATTTCATGATACATGCATAGAAATTCCAAATCTATTACAAAGATTGAGAGAATATGTTCTCAGAAACACATAGTTTTCCTTCATTTTATCTATCACTGCCTGTCACTCATCTGTCAGGATCCACAATATTTTTGCAGATTGTGCCATGTGATCCCAGAAGGCTGACAAGCTTCATTGACTAGGGTGATTCTAGGAAGACGGTGACCCAATGAATGCGTGGGGCCCACTTACCTGATCTTTGTAGATTGTTCCTCTTCTTACTTTTCTGTTTCTCATCCCTTCCATCTTATGTCTTTTTTTCTGTAAAGAATTTTATGTCTTAAAGTGACAGTATTTTAGGTAGGAATACATAAGTTTTGTTTTTTGTTTTTGAGACAGAGTCTCACTCTGTCGCCCAGGCTGGAGTGCAGCGGTGTGATCTCGGCTCACTGCAGCCTCTGCCTCCTGGGTTCAAGTGATTCTCCTGCCTCAGCCTCCTGAGTAGCTGAGACTACAGGCATCCGCCACCACGCCTGGCTAATTTTTATGTGTTTTGTAGAGATGAGTTTTTGCCATGTCGTCCAGGCTTGTCTCTAATTTCTGACCTCGGGTGATCTGCCCACCTCTGCCTCCCAAGGTGCTGGGATTACCGGTACGAACCCACCATGCCTGGCACATAGATTTTACAAAGTTGAATAAGAGTTGAGAAACCTTGGAGGTTTAATCAAGCGTCAGGAGTGAGGTGAGGAATGGGATGAATGTTATTTTTATTTTATTTATTATTTATTTATTATTTATTATTATTTATTTTGAGAACCAGTGGTTCTCAAACTTTAGTGACATCAGAACTACCTGCAGGGCTTGTTAGACCAGATTGCTGGTCCCCACCTCCAGAACTTTTGATTCGGTTCTGAATCAGAAAAACCCAGAAAAAAAATGGGATGGGCATTTCTATAAGTTCCCAGGTGAAACTGATCCTGCCAATGTGGGACGGCACTTTGAGAAGCACTGCTCTGGGGTCACCACTTTTTGTATTTTCAGGTGAGGAAACTGAGTCTCAGACAGAGGAAGGGTCCTGCTCCAGATTTCACACCTGTAGTGAGTTAGCATCCAGAAGAGAATGAGGACCAGGTCTCCTGGCTCTAGCCTCTGATGTTCTCTGGGGATTGTTCTTTGACCAGTAAAGGAAAAGCCCTTCCTGACCTTCTGATCAACTGAAGATAGTGTGGGAAATCACATTTCCACCCTTCCCAAATTCCTGTCTGTGGGCAGCACTGTCTCTCGCTCGCCTGTCTCTTCCTTTGTATGTCCTGTGGAGAAAGTGGGCTTTGGTGCTCTATACTGCTGCTTAAAGTTACCCGAATATATTTCAGCCTCTTCACTTCCGTATCCAATTTAATAATTATTCATGGGACATTTGTCTGTCAATTTGTGACCATTTAGAGATTAATATTAATGCCATCGTTTTTCACACGTGGCCTATTAAACTCAGGCCTACATTATGTCAAGAGAAAGCAAGTTAGAGACAGCATAGGATACAAGAGTGACCATGGGAAGATAGAAATGGTCAAATTTTTGCTTGGATCTAAGATTTTCCTTTTAGTTTGTTGTAATTTCAGTGAAATATTATTTCACCACATGAGTTCTGTGCAATATCCACTAGCCTGTATTTTCAAGGTGGGAAATATCTTCTTGTTGGCAAATTCAAATTAAAGTAAAAATGATTTTGATTGTTGAGTAATTATCTAAATGAAGGCATCATGAAATGGGTTTCATAAGACTATTAATGTGTTGCACTTCGCTGACTGAGAAGAATAACAAGAATTGTGTTCTTGTGGGTGCTGAGTATTCGTTTAATTTAAGTGATTGCTTTTTTGAGTTGCAGATTGTCACAGTGGCATTGATGGACCATAAAATGCACATAACTGTCACCTGATAATTACATATTAGAACTGGGTACAGAAAGAATTGACCTTGAACGTTTGAGGGAATTAAAATAAGTACTCTTTTCCAAATGTTGGGGAAGAAAGCTAGCCCACTTAAAGTTAGACTCAATTCAAGGCAATAAATCTTGACTAAGGGCCTTCTGTACCTAAGAATGCACTATTCTAGGTGGGTTTTGGATCTGCATTGGGCCTTAAGGGCCAGTATCTGAATTGTTATGTAAATGGATGCAGAATACGTGTGCATTTATAAATGTGTACATAACAATAAATATTTATTGGAAGAATTATTGATTGAATGATGAAGGCAGAAACCAAATGTTGACACTGATGTGATTATTTTCAGTTTCATGGGAGCAAAGGCATCAGGTCACAATGTATGAACCGTGATATAATCTGTCACTTTTGGTCAATGGAGAGATGGGGTTCAGGCCACAATTCTGATCCTTAATGCTGTCTTCTGTTTTTTTTTTTTTTTTTTTTTTTTTTTTTTTAGCGTCTGGTGGAGGCTGCAGAAGAAGCACACCTGAAACATGAATTTGATGCAGACTTACAGGTAACTGATTATAGTTTGAGTTCAATTGTTTTGTGTGTTTCATGCCAAAGGAGAAGTACCAGGTATACCAGGAACACTGATTTTTCAGTGATTGGGAGGGAAAGGCTTTTGTGAGGATGGTGTAGAGTTCAGTAAATGTGCCTGTCTTTGACAGGATTCTTAAGCAATTGTCAACCACTTTCTAACAATGACAATTATAATGGGTGATGCCAAACACTCACATGTGTGTAATCAGATTTCAATAAACTATTCCCCAATTTAGGGGGAGTTAACTTGGTCAACTGACAATAATCACCAGATCTCTCAATGGTAAATTGATAAGATAGCAGAATATATCCAAACCCCACTTGGCTGGCTGCATTTTGGAATGCAAGTGACTGAAAGCAATACTGTGATGGATCTATCCTTGAATTGATTGGTAATAAAATTTGGAAATTAAATCATTCACTGATTTGAGATTCAAACATCCATCTCATTAATTTCTTGCAGTAGATCTTGCACCTGATCATGACATAACTATGTCTGATTGAGAAGGATTTTGATGTTGATGTGTATAGAAAACATAGTAAAGGGCAACAAGTGAATTAAATAATACTTGGAGGTTCCAGCTGGGTGTGGTGGCTCACGCCTGTAATCCCACCACTTTGGGAGGCTGAGGCAGGTGGATTGCTTGAGGCCAGGAGTTTGAGACCAGCCTGCCCAACATGGTGAAATGCCATCTCTACTAAAAATACAAAAATTAGCTGGGCATGGTGGTGGACGCCTGTAATCCCAGCTACTTGGGAGACTGAGGCAGGAGAATTGCTTGAACCTGGGCAGCAGACGTTGCAGTGAGCTGAGATGGAGCCACTGCACTCCAGCCTGGGTGACAGAGTGAGAGTCTGTCTCCAATAAATAAAGAAACAAATAAGTAAGTAAGTAAAACTTGGAGATTCCTTTGGGTCTCCCTGAATGAACTTTTATCTAAATTGGCACTTTGAGTTTTGTGACCTTTCCTCACCACTAGGAAAACAGGAGGAGCAAATCTTAAAGTCTGAACTTTGCTAGATGTATTTCTTTTAATGGCATGTGGTCACAGTTAGGAAATAGTGTTTACTTTCCTATGTTTCCATTTATATGGGAGATATAAAGGCAGACATAAATCATTAAGCACAATAAAGATGGCAATACCAAAGCCGGCTGCCGGCTGCATGTCTCTCTTGAAGATGTGTCCTTATCATCACCCTCATCTGTGTCTTTTGCTTTGTGAATAAAACAATGCATATTCGAGTGAGGTGATCAAGGAAAGTTTAATTAAGGAAATGTTTTCAAAGGTGTAGTCGGGGTTAAGTGAAACCAACATACAATGGTGTTCAAATAAACCAACAGGCAGTGGTGGCATACCCCAGAGCTAGCCGTACTTCTGGCCTGACGAGAGGAAAACTGGGGTTTCCAGAACTCAGGGAAGATGGCTACATGGAAAAATGATTTGATAGAGGAGTATGGCCACCCATGGTGAGCTGGAAAGGGTGAAATTTGGGATAATGATACCCCAGTACTCTCTTGCTTTCTTATTTCTTGCCAGTACTCACTGTTGGCTGAATCCAGCTGTTGGTATGGTTGATGTAGTTCAGTTCAGAGATTGAGCTGGGTGAGGAAGGTTGAAGATGGTTCTGGAGGGGCAAACAAAAAACATCAAGTCCATCATCCACAGTCTTTTTAGGCATAATACCCAGCATTTGAAACAAATAGAGCCAGAGGTATAGCTAAGCATAAGAGGGAAATGAGGAGAAGCTCTGGGGATGGTTGGAACCATTGGGAGAGGAGTGGGCAGCTGGCCCAGCTCTTTGAGCAGAGCTGCTGAGAAGGGACAGAAGATAGTGAGAAGAATCTTGAATATAGCAAGAAGTACCTCACCTTCCTAAAGCCATACTCACTTCTCACACGATTGCTCCACAAAGATCTAGGGGCCATTTACTGGCCACATTTGTCTTCGTTGAGCCTGATTTTCAGAGAGTTTAGACTTGTAGAGTGGGCCAGAAGGGATTTAATGGCAGCATCAGAAAGCACTTTGGCAGGTATGAAGATTATAAGGACCTCTTGAGTGCATTGCCCCGAGAAACTGTCTCACTTTTCTCAGAAGTTCCTGAAGGCTTTTCAGGAATATTCTGATTTTAAGTGACAGAAACTCAACTCATATCAACTTAGCGTGTAATAATGAATAAAATAAGAATCCATGAGTCTACCTGATAATAAATAAACAGATAGATAGATTAAAAACTAGACAAATGGGCCAGGCTGGTGGCTTCCACCTGTAATCCCAGCACTTTGGTAGGCCAAGGCGGGCAGATCAGGACTTTGAGACCAGCCTGGCCAACATGGTGAAACCCTGTCTCTGCTAAAAATACAAAAATTAGCCAGGCATGGTGGCAGGCGCCTGTAATCCTAGCTACTCAGGAGGCTGAGACAGGAGAATTGCTTGAAGCCGGGAGGTGGATGTTGGAGTGAGCCGAGATCATGCCAGTGCACTCCAGCCTGGGCTACAGAGAGCGAAACTCCATCTTAAGAAAAAAATAGACAAATGAGGAGAAACGTCTTAGAAGGCAACTAATGCATATAGAAGAAATGATTGAGTTAGAAAATTATGGTAATTAACTGAGGCAAGAATCTTAAGTGGATGCTAAAACTAGTTGGCAAAATTTTGGTGAAGAACAGGACACTTCGGTCTCAAACTATTTGCCCACAAGTTACTCATCAATTACAAAGGGAAAAATAGCAATTTTATTGTGGAGAAACCTGATAGACACCACCTTAAATAAGTAATCGAAGTTAATGTCACCAATAATGAGACAAAGTGACATCAAGTGCCTCCAGATGTGATGACCCAGAAAAATATAACACACTTATGTACAATTCTTGCCCCAAATGTATAGCCTGACTGTAATCATGATGAAACATCAGACAAATCTAGATGGAGGAACATTCTACAAAGTAACTGGCTGGACTCATCTTCAAAAATGCGAAGATCAAGAAGGAGAAAGAAATGTTGAGGATTTGCTCCTAATTCAAAGAGGACACATAACTACTACATGTAATGTGTGATCCTGAACTAGAAAACAAAGTTTTAACATGGAGGGTACATTAGAAAACAATGATGTATTAATGTTGGATTGTTGGATTTTCATCCCTGTACTGTGATTATGTTAAGGAATGTCCTCATTCTTTGATTTTTTTCTGGCTTCATTGGTTCAACAGGAAGGAGTGAGGGTGTAGGAGAGAGTGAGAAACATTGGAAGTGATGACTGTTTTGTAAAATCTGTTATTTCTGGCTCATGTGGTCAGTTTTACTGAGAGATAAGGGTTGGTGGGATGGGGCATGGGAAGGGATGATGTGGTTGACTTTTGGGGATTACTTATCCTTCAGTCGATGAAAAATGTTTTGTGGTTTTAGTTCAGCTAACACAGAGACATTCTTTTTTTGTCCATCTGAAGCTATTGTTATTTTCCAAGAGTGTTCTGATTTCCTGTTACGGCAGTTTTACAGTAAAATTCTGGTGTAGCACAAGTGATTCCCTCTGTCAAAGGGGGTGCTGTGATTGTGAAGGCAGCATTGGCATCTCTCTTGAAAAAATGAGGCACCAAGAAAATAAGTCTCTAGTTTTTGTTCTCTTGGGAACAAGGAAAGGGAGCTAAAGTTTTCCTCCCCAGTCACCTGTTCTGTACATGTACAACAAAAGCATCCGCGGGTACCATTGTGGTCTGAACAGAAGAGTAGATGTTGAAATCCTCTGTTGATATGACAGTGCCATTCACACTGGTGCTCCGACTTCAGTGAACTCTTCTATGGGTCAAAGTAAACCACATGCACTTTGGTGGAGACCTGTGAAAGACAGACCCTTGATAAAGTAGATGTGCATGGAAGAATTTGTCTTGGCTTAGATGAAGGTTTTGAAGCTACTGAAGCTTCTCTGCTATTAAGTGCACATCTGTTAACAGCGTGGGTGTCAGCCCCGTTGCCATTACTGAGGTAGCAGGTCTGTGTACTGGCTCTGAATTTATTACTATCATGGTCCATTAGAGCTGATCAATTGTTAATCAGGGTTCTGCTGACCTCTCAGTAACCCCTGGCAGATGATTGTTTTTATCAAAAAAATCTCAGACTGCCATCTGCTCACTGTGAAATAACGCTGAGAAGGAACCTACCCTGTTAGCTCAGGAGGAGTACGAGCTGGAAGTCTGTTTTCATACAGGAAGAAAAAAAGAGATTTTGCAAAATTTCCTAACCTGTGTAGTTTTAACTCACATTTTTCTTAGCTTCCTTCTTCCCAAAACAGAAAAGAGATGAGGGATCTGTCCCTTCTCTCACTTTAGACTAGAGACGTTGCATCATTGCAACATTCATGTGCTTCAAAGTGAAGAATTTGCTTTTCATTGGTAAAATAATCAGAAGTTACAAAAAGTTATACCTCCTTTATTATCACGATTTTATTTTCCATTTAAATTTCCCCTTGCGGTCTCTTCAGAGGTTTAACTTTTCCCCCATGACCTTATGGCTTTGACATCTACAGTCCCGTCTGTAAAGTCCTTAATACGGCATTAGATTGTTAGTTCTTAACAAAAACTGTATTGGGGCAGAGGCAAAATGTAGCTTCTGAAGGATAGGATGTGTGAACAAATCAAAATGCAGACTCCTCCATAGAAAACAGATGTGCTTGGCCTTCATTGGCGGGGTAGCTTGCTTGCTTGCTTGCTTGCTTTTTTTTTTTTTTTGAGACAGAGTCTTAATCTGTCACCCAGACTGGACTGGAGTGCAGTGGTGCGATCTCAGCTCACTACAACCTCCACCTCCCAGCTTCAGGTGATTCTCGTGCCTCAGCCTCCTGAGTAGCTGGAATTACAGGTGTGCACCATGACACCCAGCTACTTCTTGTATTTTTTGTGGATACAGGGTTTCACCATGTTGGCCAGGCTGGTCTCGAACTCCTGGGCTCAAGTGACCTGCCTGCCTTGGCCTCCCAAAG